CTGTGTTATAAAGGCAGAATTAGAAGAAATAAAAAATGTATTCTTTTTTTTAATTTTTTATTAATTACACTTTATTCATTTTGTATCCCCCATAAGCCCCTCTCTCCTCCCCAAAAATGTATTCTTAAAAAAAAATGTATTCTTTTCAAAAAATTTTAATTTACAACTCAGGTTTTTAGCATTTGTTTTTAATTTATTATTTATGTGTGTATGTGCTTATTTATTTACTTACTGTTTTTGTTTTTGTTTTTTGAGACAGTGTTTCTCTGTGTAGCCTTGGCTGTCCCTGACTCACTTTTTTAAAAAAGATTTATTATTTATACAACATTCTGCCTGTACACCAGATCTTATTATAGATGGTTGTGAGCCACCATGTGGTTGCTGGGAATTTAACTCAGGACCTTTGGAAGAACAGTGAGTGTTCTTAACCTCTGAGCCATCTCTCCAGCCCCCTGACTCACTTTTGTAGACCAGGCTGGCCTAGAACTCATAGAGATCCACCGGCCTCTGCAGAACTGCCTCTGGACCCGGCTATTTATTTATTTTAAACCAAAACTTCCATTTTACATATCCCACTTTTTGTTTTAAAAAATGGCCTTTTCTCTACTATTAATGAACTATATACAATAAGAATACTTATGAGAGCTTCGAGTGGTGGTGCACGCCTTTAATCCCAGCACTTAGTAGGCAGAGGCAGGCAGATCACTAGAGTTCAGGGCCAGCCTGGTCTACAAAGAGAGTCCAGGACAGCCAGTGCTACACAGAGAAACCCTGTCTCAAAATAATAATAATAATAAGAATTATTATTATTATTATTATTATTATTATTATTATTATTATTATTATTATTATGTCCAGTCCATTTGTATTTGGCATCTTTGGAAAAAGTATTCTATTATTTATCCTTTCTTGGTGAGTCCAAAATTCTGTATCTAAATCCCTTTCTTATCCTATTTTGTATCTATCAACCTAAAAACATCTATCTAGACCTTAAAACATTGTTTTAGACCTAAAGCATTGTCTTAGTGCCTAAACAACTACACTGAGTATGACTGTCTAGTCTTCAACCCCATCATGGACTTTACAAGGAAATACTATTACCCTAAGTATGTAGGAAGCGTAGAGCTTTTGGAACTATAGACATAACAGAGACACTGACTGCCTAGACAGTCACCAGAGGTTGCTGTGTCACTGGGGCATCCAGTCTTCAGCTTATAACCCCAGAATATCTGACAGGCTTTTCTGGGAAGCAGGAATTTTAAGGACTGACCATATAGTCTCTGCAAAGCTGGACATTCAGTTTTCCAGTATCCTATTTGTACACAGTTTGCTCAGACAGCCTGCTCTCAGCAGTTGAAGGACAGTTTTTTTCTCTAGTGGCTACCTTGTCATATTTTTTCTTTGATGCCTATCATCTTCTTTGAAGTAGATTTGCGGTGCTGCCAGGAGCAGACATGTCTGTCAGACAAGCTTTCATTATTTAAAATATTTTAAATACCATATTCTGTAGATCTCCGAAGTGTTTGAAGACTACCTCTTTATCTTCCATAATCCTATCTGTCTGTCTTTCTATCTACTGGATAATAGAGCAACACTGCTTCACTGCTTGTTTCCAGCTATATACTATTTGATTAGCCTTAAAAACATACAAAAACTAATTAAAAATTATTTCTGGGGGCTGAAGAGATGGCTCAGTGGTTAAGAACTCTGTCTGCTCTTCCAAAGGACCCAGGTTCAATTCCCAGCACCCACATGGCAGCTCACAACTGTCTGTAATGCCAACTCAAAGGTATCTGACACCTTCATACTAATGCACATAAAATAGAAATTAAATAAATTATTTTTTAAAAATTATTTCTGTAATTAACTAAACTAACATCTAACAAGACATAAGATTATCTATAGATGACTATTAATTTACATCTCCAATCATCCTGAACAGTTTGTAATAGTTAGCTTTCAAAAGACTAAAACATTACACCACATTTTTAAATAAACTGTGTATGTACAATACAGTAAGCCAAAGTTGAACAAAACAATCTTAAATTTCTATCAATATACAATAATCCATGCCAATACATAATATTTGAAACTAATAAATTCAATAATCTACCTTTCATTCTATCATCCTACAGCCCCACATCGGGTACCACCTGTAGCATTCATTTTTAAACTATTTTATTTAGGATGTTTAGGCCTCAACCTCCATTCCAACCTCCCAACTCTACACTGGACAGAAAAGGTTAACAGGGAGAGGGGATGCAGACGCCTTTACTTCCTCTGGCTGTTTGGGGGAATATGCCAATCTCCATCAACAGCAAAGGCAGCCAGCAGCCTCCTCCAAGCCACTGCATCTCCAAGCATGTCTGCTCCAAGCCATCACACTGTCCATCTGTGGTCTCTTCAAACTGCTACACACCACACACCACCACCGCACATCACACCTTCTCTTTCTGGGCTCTCATATTTACATGCTCGAGAGCCCTAGACCACGCTCCTCTCCATGCCACACATGGCAGGCCAATACCAGCTGCCAAAGATCACAGTCACATGTGACAGTTACCAGCTGTGGACAAACTAAAGCCCAAATAAAATCCACACTTGGGATTAAAACAAAAACATGTTTTCATAACTGAATTTACAAAGAAACCAAAAGTTCCATTACACAGGTTCAATTGCAAGAACTAGCTATGTGGAAACATGTTTAATGAAAAAATAAATAAATAAAGCCATTTAACTGGGTCTATTAAGCAATATAAGGAGCCCATGACAGATAAAATATGCTATGAAAAGGGGAAGAAGTCAGGCCTGGTGGTGTATATCTGTAATCCCGACACTAGGTGAGACAGAGGCAGGTGGATCTCTGCAAGTCCTGGACAGCCAAGGCTACACAGAGAAACACTGTCTCAAAGAAGAAAAAAAAAAAAAAAAAAAAAAAGGAAAGAGAGAGAGAAAAGGGGGGAAAAGGGGACTTATAAAATTAATAGAAAACAATGCAATTGCCAGCCAAAACTCAGGTTTAGTAACACATGTAAAAAACCGCAGTCACCAGCTGGTTTTGGTAGTATAAGCCTTTAATCCCAACATTCAGGGAGGCAGAGGCAGGTGATCTCTGAGCTTGAAGCCAAACTGCTCTATACAGCAAGTTCCAGGACAGCCAGCACTACACAGAGAAACCCTGTCTTGAAAAATAAAAAATAAAAAAAGAAACCACATTCACAATAGCATCAAAAATGGATACGGTCATTCAAGTAATTAAGACTGAATTTCAGGGGACTGGAGATATGGCTCAGGGGTTAAGAGCATTGGCTGCTTTTCCAGGAGGATCCTGGTTTGATTCTCAGCACCTACATGGGTGCTGAACTTACAACTGTCTGTAACTCTAATTAAGAGGATCTGACACCAGAAGTTCTGACCTCCACAGGTGCCAAACGCATGTGGTGCAGACATATATGCAGGCAAAACACCCATACACACAAAAATTACAAAAACGACAACACACACACACAAACTTAATTTCAGGGTGGCAGAGATGGCCCACTGAGTAAAGGAGTTTGCTACCAAGCCTGACTAAAGACTTGAGTTCCATCCCTGGGTCCCACCTGGTAGAAACAGACTTGCACATGTGCAAGATGGCAAGCACAGCCTACCCACCACCAAACAGACATAAGGACAACTTTCCCCGAGAGAGGACTTTTACTTTGTTTTGTTTTTTTCTTTATTTTTCCTTTATGTATATGGCATGTAGTGCCCTCAAAGGCAAGAAGAGGGTGTCATATCCCTGGAGTTACAGACACCAGTGAGCCAGCATGTGTGCTGGAATCCAAACCCAGGTCTTCTGGAAGAGCGGCCAGAGCTCTAACCACTGAACCATCTCCCCAGCCTCCCAAGAACGGTTCTTTAGTCAAAAATATATAAATAACTGTTCTCTGATGCCAGGATACCAACACAAGTCCTCAGAACTATGAATTTCTTGCTTGTTTTCTTTTCTTGTTTGTTTTTTCAAGACGGGTTTTTATATAGCCATTCATGAACCTCGCTCTGTAGACCAGGCTGGCCTCAAACTCAGGAAAAAAAAAAAAACAAAAAAAACTTGGCACAATTGAAAAGCATTAGGACCTTCACAAGGTGGTGGGTGGGGATGTTTTAAGTCATTAAGGGTATGTCTCCAAAGGGCTGAGACCCTGTCCCTTCTCATCTCACTTCTCAGTAGCTACACTGTCTCATCAACAAAGCTACTGTATCTTCGAGTAAAATCTCCAACCATTACTCTTCCTACTCTGACTTCTACTTTCTTCCACTGACTAATACACAAAACCGTAAAACAAAAGACTGAAGAACAGTGTCAGGGACAGGGTGACAGAGAGATGGCTCAGGGCTCAGATGGCCGCTAACAAGCCTGGCAGGGTCTGTTGTGCACCTGTAACCTCAGGTGTAACACTTATTTTCTCACATTCTCATATCATTATCATAATTTCTGCCTTCCTCTGTTTTTAAGAGTTCAGTATAGTCTCAAACTCATTATGGAGCCAAGGATGCCCTTGAACTGATCCTCCTGCCTCCACCTCCCAAATACTGGCATCACAGTTCTGCTCCACCACACCTGTGTTATTCAGTGCTAGAAACAGGGCTTCATGAATGCCAGGGCAAGTGCAACAACTAAGCTACATTCCTGGTGCAAACATTCTAGTGATTACCTTCCTACCTCACATGAAAACAAAAAAGACATTCCGCCCTTCACCAAGGACTGGGTCATATAAGGCACAACCCGAGTCTGACTCATAGAAGCGGTCAGTTGGCCATTAGGAGACTTTTCAATTTTCTCACTTGGTAGATTTAAAAAATTGATCCCCAGGGTGGAAAACCTGTTTGTCCAAGGTCATGTGAGACCTTTCACGGAATGTATATGGCTAACACTCAGTCCTTCTGTTAGTCCAGCTTGCTTTCTATCAGATCATATACAAGTGATACATATTAGTAACTTTTCATGTGTTACCTACCTTACTCTCCCATTCAGATTTATCTGAATATGCTGCTTAAAATCTGGATATTTGGATGCCAGATATGCGAAGTCAGGTGGCTTGTCCTTGTATCTATTTCTTGCATGCATTGATTTGCTTAGAGCCATCTTTAAAGAGAGAAGGAAGAAGGGATGTGAGAGGGGAAATCAACATACTTAGTTTTAAAAGCAACATGCCTCTACCATCAGTACTTGAGAGGCAGAGGCAGGATCAGCCTGGGCTACATAGTGAGTCCCAGGCCTGTTTGGGTTACAGTGTGAGACTCTGCCTCAAAACCAAACACAAACAGTAAAGCAAGTAAGCAGTGCTCTTAAGTCCAGCTTGCTACCACATTCAGTACTCTCAATAAACCTGCCCCGCCCCGCAAGAGGACATAGCTATTGCAGAGCACTTGCCCAATCTGCTCAAGGCCCTGCTTCAACCGCCAGAATTAAACACACGTACACACGTACAGACAGGGAGAAACTCAATGTATGGCAGTTTTTAATTCCCTAATATTTGAATGTTCCCTACAGACACCTGGGTAAAAAGGAGCATAAATGAAGACAGACCCCAGGCCCCAAGACTATCAAAGGGAAATGGTTTTCTTTCATGTAATGCTGGACAGCAACAAAAAGACAGGCACTCCTCTAACAAGTTCAAGAGATGCTGATACATTAGGACTCTGCAACACACTAAAGAAGACAGTTCACAAGCATGTACTCTGAACATATGTGACCCAAGTTAAATTACAATCTTGGCCAATTCAATTCATTTTCTACACTACTTATTCTGGCCATAACACAGAATATTCTGGCTATAAAGTGACTCCTTTGATTAACTTCTGTAAAAAAAAATTTCAACTGGGACTTTAATCAGTCTCACACATGCTATAGCATGGAGCTGCTACACCCCAGATGAACTCACTTGTGGGTTTGTAGCTGGCTGCTACACCATTCCTCAAAGTTAAATGGGTGTCGGCTCTTACCCAGCACCAGTATTGTCACTTCTCACTGAGCTCACTCTGTCCCTGCCACACTGGCCTATAAGCCATTTCTAGATCAAATAAGGCACATTCATGCCTTAGGGCTATTTGTACTTGTCTTTTTGTTGCTCTTAGACAAGGTCTCCAGCAGCCAAGGCTGGCTGGGAACTCACAATGTACCCAAGGCTAGTCGTGAATTCCTTATCCTCCTAAGTACTGGGACTCCAGTGTCCACCATCACATGGCACTTGCTGGCATGGATTGCTTCCCCCTCCCCTCCCCATGAAATGTACATACACTGAACATATTCCCACCTCATTTATGTCTCTGGTCACCTCGTTAATAGCTTTCCTGAGCACCTCACTAAAGCATTCAGTGACTAACACACACTAAATTACCTTCTTAACATCTATCTTTTGAATTTACTCACTTGACATTCTATACACATTTGCCTTAATTTTTAAAATCTTCCCTACAAGTAAACTTCATGAGGGAAAACATTTGTTCACTGAGGTACCCCAACACTTAAAATTGCCTGTAAGAGTAGGCACTCAACTATTTGTTGATTAGTAAGAATATGAAGTCGCCTGGAGATGTAGGTCAGAGTGACAGAGCATTTGCATAGTGTGCAAGGCCCTGGGTTCAGTCTTCAACATCAAAGGAAATGTATAAACCGCCGAAATATAGCACTCTCTTCCTGAATGGGCAGCCCCGCTGAATCTCAACAATGACAAAAAAGGCCCATCTGAGTGAGGCCAAAAACTAAAGACCTTGAGGCCAGCCTTCTTTCCTCTTTAACACTTCATGCTTCCTTGTTTCCTCTTGGCCTTTACATCTTCACAGACACACCATTTCTTCTAATGCATAAACCTACAGGGCAGTCTAAATTTGGCTTTTAGAATAGCAAACTTTGGTAGCTGTGGAAATGGATTTGAGGTACGAGCACCTTCCTAAAGGACCTGGGTTCGATTCCCAGCACCCACATGACTGCTGACGACCCTCTGTAACTCAGTCCCAAGGTATCGTCTTCTGGCCTCCGCCCGCACTGTGCACGTGGTGCACAGATACACATTCCGGCAAAACACATATACGTAGAAAGTTTTTTCAAAGGGAGGGGATGTTTTTAAAAGAACAGGAAACTCAGCAAACGCCTCCCACCTCGACCCTAACACCTTCGTTTTCTCCCCACCTCACAAATTTGACTTTTCTTCTAGTTCTGCCACCTCTCTGGCTCATCTATGCCTTCTTCCCGCCTTGGTTTCAGCACTCTCTCTCTCTCTCTCCATCAGCCTAGACAAGTAGGGAGTGGAGAGAGAAAGGGAAGATCTCTCCTTCAACTCCTCTTACCTACCCACCCTACCGCCTGCATTAGCGCCCACACCAGCCCCGAGTACCTGGCTTCAGACACCTTAATAAGCCCTTGAGGAGCTAAAAGCCGGTGAGCCAAGGATTACCCGAACCATGAGCGCAACCGCATAAAAGATTTTAAACCACGCACCTTTTAGGCCAAAGTAGTAGCAGGACGACGTGCGTAGCTGGGGCCTGCACAAGCCGAGAATCCAAACCTACTCACCCAGCCAAGCTCCTGGAAACGCAGATGCTACGCTCCCAGCGCGCCGCCATCTTGTGAATCCAATCAGCGCCGTGATTGGACAAGCTACTATCGCGAGACCTTCGGCCTAGCTTGAAGAAAGAAGGAACTGTCGCGGTACCTGGAGTTTGGGGAGCGTTTTCGCTGGGACGTTGGGGTCGTGGTCTCTTTCTGGTGAGCTCACCAGTCCGCAAGAGAGCTAGTTTGGTGGTGGTTGTTGTTTAGATGGTGGTTTCTCGTTTAGTTTGTTTGAGATCAGGGCTCTTCTGTGGTCCAGGCCGGCATGGAACTATGTAATCCAGACTAGTCAAGGTCTTGAAACCATCCTCCTGTGTGTGTGTGTGTGTGTGTGTATATATATATATATGGATGGATATATACATACACATATATGTATGTTTATATATGTATATATCTTCAGCTCACTCCAGGCTTGGGCAGGGAATAGGGAAGCTAGAAAAGGATTCTCTTGGGTTTTATGCCAATTATTGTACAGCGAATCTATGTGATGATACATTGAGAAGTTACAGATAAACCGGTGAGGAGGGCATACTGGCGCTTAGAGAGTGCTTTGGGGCGAGGTGGGCCCGTTAACTGCAGATGTCTCTGCAGTTAAGAGCACTGGCTGCTTCAACAAAAAAACCCAGGTTCAATTCCCTGCACCCACATGGTAAATCAAAACTGTAACTGTAGTCCCTAATGCCTCACGGGGCAGGAGGCATGCACGTGGTGCACAACATGCAGGAAAACACCCGTACACAGAAAAGTAAACCTTTAAAAAATTATTAAAGGGACTGATTTGGCTAAAAAGCATTGAGTCCTCCTTTGGACTCAAAATGAAAGGATAAAATCCTGGCATCTTGCCTTCATTTGTATCTATTACTTTTAGGCATTTTACTGTCAACAGTCAGTGTTCTGTTCCAGACTGCCCAAAAGTTGCTTGAGTTGTGTTATAAAATGCCATTCACCTTGTGTTCCTGGAACAACAGGACTGATCAATAAATACTTCTATGAAGCAATGCTAGGCCTCAAAGGACAGGACTCCCCCTGTACACCCTGAAGGCAATTATCTGCATAGATGAAGCTGTATGCCACAGCAGGAATAATTGTCTTAAGGGAGCACAATTGCTTCCCTTCAGCAATAAGGACTCAGAGCCACCTTGCAGAATCAAACAGATGAAGACCAACTAGGCCACGTTGACTTTGGCATTTAATTAGCTACTAACTATGCTAATAGTCCCTTCAATTGCCTCATCACCAATTCTTCCTTCATTTAACCCTGAGTATGATGTCATAGACCTATAAATCATAGCTATAAAATATGGGCTAGAGAAATAGTTACGTACTTAACATTTGCTGCACAATCATGAAGATCAGAATTTGGACTCCAGAATCTACACAACAAGTAAGGCATACCTGAGACTTGCTGCTTCCACCCTAGTTAAAAAAATATATGAACCTCAAGTTCAGACAGAGACTTTGCCTCAAAGGTATAGGGAGACAGTGAGAGGACATCCAATAGCTTCTGGTTTCCACACATGTACACACACACCTAATTTTTTAAAGATAAATCTTTTTTTCTTTAATCTCTCTCTCTCTTTCCAAGACAGGGTTTCTTTGTGTACCCTTTGACTGGGACTCGCTTTGTAGACCAGGTTGGCCACAAACTTACAGAGATCCACCTGCCTCTGCCTCCCTGAGTGTTGGGATTAAAGGCATGCGCCAACACAAGTGGCTGATAAAACATTTTCATTATTGAAGATTTGCCTACAATGTTATTGATAGATTTGTGGATGTGGGTTGGTGGCTCACAGCAGCCTATATCTCAAACTCCAGAGTATCTAGTGCTCCCTTCTTGCCTCCTTAGACTATACTCACATTCATGTATCAGAACACAGAAACACACAAAATTAAAAATAAAATACATCTTTTAGAAAAATGGGGCTGGAGAGATAGCTCGGCAGTTAAAAACACTCACTGTTTGCTCTTCCAAAGGACCCAGATTCAATTTCCAGCTCCCATAGGGCAGCTAGCAACTCTCTGTGACTCCATTTCCAGGGAAGCATTTATCTCTGACAGCTCCACAGGCTGTTCAGCGCATAGAAATGCATGCAGCCAGAACACCTGTACACATGAAATGAAACAGAGAACTTAAATGTTTTGAGTATTCTGTTTATTACTTTGTGTAGGTATTTTCCTTGCATTTGCCTGTGCACCGTATGCCTGCAGGGTCACAGAGGCCAGAAGAGACCAAGGGATCCCTTTGAACTGGTGTTAGAGACAGTTGCAAACTGCCGTATGGGTCCTGAAAAGCAGCCACTGCTCTTAACTGCTGAGCATTTCTCCAGCTCCTAAAATAAAATAAAATAAAAATTTTTTAAAAGAGAGAAATAATTCAGGTGGTGGCTGCCTTTAATACCAACACTTAAGAGACAGAGCCAGCACTGTACAAAGAGACCCTGTCTCGAAAAACCAAAAAGAAAAAGACTGCATTGGAAAACTCCACCACTCTATAGCTGACCAGGCAGCTGTTTTCGTTTCTGTTTGTCCTTACTGCCCTATGAGAGGCAGTAGAAACAAGGGAAAGATCAGAAAAAAATGAAGGTTGTCTCCCTCTTAGAAGAGGTGTTGGCACATTCTCGGTAGGTTCATATGTGCAGCAGTCCTGTTGTGTCTGAAAGCACTGTTTCCTTGGAGTTATCCATCACTGCTAGCTCTTACACTGCTTGCCTCATTTGCATAGATCTCTGAGCCTTGAGAGGAGGACTTTAAGGGAGGCATCACATTTAGGACTGAGTTCTCCAAAGTCTCTCTCTTTCTTCACACTGTTCAGTTGTGAATCTCTGTGTGAATTCCATCTATTGCAAGAGGAAGAACCTCTGATGTGGATAGCAGCATATCCTTAGGAGCCATGTCTCTTTAGCAAAATAATAGGATTGTTTGTTTGGTTTTTTTTTTCCTAGGCCCATGGCCTACCTAGTCTCAAGTTCCTGGCCACTTAGCTGTTATCAAATACTTGTTCTATCTCATGGAGTGGGCCTTAAATCTATTTGTAAAAAGTGGTTAGTTACTCCCATTACATCTGTGCCATTACCACATGTGTTTATTTTGCAAGGTCACTGTTATAGGTGGCAGGCTTTGTAGCTGGGTGGTATTGATGATCACCTTTCTCCTCCGGTAGTGTGCATACACCTTCCAGGGCCATGAATGCTAATCAGTAAGGGTGAAACTTCTAGTCAGGAACCAGCTAACTTCTTCATGTGAAATAATATAAGTAAGTGTTATCATCAGCAATAGGTCCTCACATCAGGCTATTTGAATTCACGTTTATGTAAAGACTGCATGCATTGTTACCAAACTGAGCCAGCATCTTGTACACATAGGTAAAGCTTTCATGTGTTCGTTTGCTTTAGAATTCAAGCAGACGTAACAAAAGATTTTATTTACCTACCTGCAGAATCTTCTCATGCCCCTGTGCTGGTTGTCAATTGTAGTGTTGCTAAATAAAATGTAAAACCTACTAGGACATTTATTCTCTGTTGGAATAAAAAATATTAATATTTCAGGCCTTTAAACTCATGACAGTGAAAATGAACAAAAGCTTGTTTTCTTTTTTTTATTGTGAATAAATTCTTTTTTATTTTTTTTTCTTGTCAGTTGCATTTTGTTGACTCTGTGTCCCAGCCGTGTCCCGCTCCCTCATTCCTTCCCAGTCCCACCCTCCCTCCCTCATCTCCACCGTGCCCCTTTCCAGGTCCACTGATGGGGGGGACCTCCTCCCCATTCATCCGATCCTGTTTTATCGGGTGTCTTCAGGACTGGCTGCGGGGCCCTCCTCTGTGGCCTGACAGGACTGTTCCTCCCTTGGGGTGGGGGGTCAAGGAGCCAGTCATTGAGTTCCTGTTGGAGGTGGTCCTTGTTCCCCTCACTATGGGAAGCCAGTTGGTTGCTGAGCTGCCACGGGCTACATCTGAGCAGAGGTTCTAGGTTGTATCCATACATGGTCCTTGGTTGGATGTCGGTCCCGGGGAAGACCCTGTGCCCAGATGTATTTGGTCCTTGTGGAGCTCCTATCCTTTCCCCATCATACTAGCTCCCCTTCTTTCATATGATTCCCTGTACTCTGCCGAAAGTTTGGTTAAATGAGCAAAAATGTAAAAATTATTGAAATTTTATTTTTATCTAACAATCACAGGTTGAAGCCATAGTCACTAAATATAACATCGCTGTTTAACACCATATATTGATTCTGGTAATGTTTTATTCTTATGTAATTACTTAATTTACCCATTTTTTTTTTTTTTACAAAATAGCTAATTAAGTCACAACAAACAAAATGTAAATTTAGTTCTGAAGCATATACCCAAAACTAAATATTATTGGAGTAAACATTCAATATGTAATAGCAATAAATAAAATGAAAAATTGATTAAAAAAAAAAAAGAAGAAGAAGAAGTGTTGGGAGGATGGCTGAAGCCTCCTGGAGGTGACCTTGGCCTCACTCTGTTCCAGCAGTCCTCAGAGAAGCAGCTCCCCAGTCAGAGTGTGCATGTCACCTAGGAACTCATCACGCAGAGAGCTCTGAGCAGCACCCGTGAAAGTCTGAGCAGAGGGTCTGAGAGTGTGCTTGTCCCTAGCAAACTTCCAGATTTTGACAGGGGTACATTCTCTATCAAACTGGTTCTGTCATGTAGAACACACTTTAAGAAACATAAGAGAGTAAAGGCAACTGGGTTCAATGGCAGGAAAGGCCATTGAGGGTAGTGATGGGAAGAATTAATTAGGTATCTTCAATCACCCCAGGAGACAGGATTTTAGGGTACACTTTGGGGTACAGCATACATAACAAATCCATGGCGGAAACATGAAAAGACCTCATAGGCAGATGTGGTGGCAGGTGCCTTTGATCCCAGCAGCTGGGAGGCAGAGGCAGGCGGATCTCTGTGAATTTAGGCCAGTCTGGTCTACAAATCCATGCCAGGACAGCAAGGGCTATTACACAGATGTACATGCAGATAGAACACTCATATAC